GTTTCAAGAGTCTAGCAACACCCCTGTTATTGCAAAACATATTGCAGGCCTGTGGTGTGTGTGTGTGTGTGTGTGTGTGTGTGTGTGTGTGTGTGTGTGTGTGTGTGTGTGTGTGTGTGTGTGTGTGTGTGTGTGTGTATAAGAACATGACAGAGGCGCTGAAAGACCTAAAAACAGAGAGGTTTGTTTCTATCCATCTATCATGAAACCACAGCCTGGTCACATGCTCTACATTAACCAGCCATTAGGAATCAATGGCTCATCCATAATGCATTATGGTCATAGGTACATTAAGAAGTCATGACATTAACATCTGATTGATTTCATCAGAATGGGTGGCACCAAACCCTTTTAGCCCAAAACCTAAGTGGAATAAATATAGATATATAGTGATTTACAGTAAGAACAAACTAAAATTAAATTAAATTAAAACAAAAAACAGGTGCACAGCTTATAGTATGACATTAGCAAAGACAATTTTTCTTTTCTTCCTCTTAATTTTTCAAAAGCCAGAAGCCTAGCAAAAGAAACAGAAACAGGAAATTCTATTAACGTGTGATTTAAATTTAACTTAATTCAAATTTTAAAAATAATAGAAAAATAATAAAGGTGAGACAACACCAAAAAGTCAATAATACAAATACCTAAGACTCATAATACACTAAAATTATCAAGGCTAATGGGCAGGTAGGACTCAGATGCAGGGTTTAGAAGACCACAGTTCAGGGCTTTTATTTCCAGTGAATAGATGTTTACACCGTGAACAGTGCAACAGGGGAATAGTGCTCCAGGCGGGTCCAGGGAGGTAGGGAATCCACACATTCAATATTTACAGGTAACACTCGCTCTCAAACGTCAAGCTCAGCACACCAGAGAAGGGAATCCAGGGATCTGTACAGAGTAAAACACAGGGTAAGAATTCGTGAGACACGAGAGGCAGACACACACATAGAAGTAAGAGCCAGTGTTTAACTGAGTAGTTCAATGATGCAAAGCATGACTATCAGCTACTACCTTAAGTAGTGGCTCCCTGATGCGACCTTCAGGAATGGGTGGTTGATTGTTGCATTGAGTCTCGCCCACAAACACAGACACAAACAAACGAGCACAAAGAGGAAAAAAATCAAGGGGGAGAAATATAAAGAAGACAAACCTGGAGGACTGAGGGACAATGACAACAATAAGGTTTTAAAAACTCCATCCATACATCCATTTTTTTTATGCTCACCCAGGGTTGGGTCGCGGAGGTAGCAGCCTAACCAAGGACGCCCAGACCTTCCTCTCCCCAGTGAACTATTCCAGCTTATCGGGGGGAAACACCAAGGCTTTCCCAGGCCAGCTGAGAGATCTAATATCTCAAGCCGGTCCTGGTTCTGCCCTGGGGCCACCTTCCAGTAGGATATTCCCAGAGCACCTCAATCAGGGGTTGCCCAGAAGCCATCCTAGTCAGATGTCCGAACCTCTTCAACTGGCTCCTTTCGATGCGGAAGTGCAGTAGCTCTAATCTGACCCTCTATTGAATGACTGCACTCTATATCATATCTCTAAGAGAGAAACCAGCAATCCTGACTAAGCTCATATCTGCCACTTGTATCAGCAATCTCATTCTTTCAGTTGCTACTCAGAGCTAATGACCATAGGTGAGGGTGAAGATATAGATTGACCAGTAAACCAACAGCTTTATTTTATGCTCAGGTCTTTCTTCAACAGGAAAGACTGGTGCAACATCCACATCAGACTTGGCTCCAATCTGTCTCTCAATCTCCTGCTCTCCTCTCCCTCACTCGTAAGCGAGAGATCCAACAAGATCCAACTATTTGCAGCAATGTGGGCCTAGTCTTGCAATGGTTATACAGTGACTGAAAGGCTCATAGCAGTGGACCCCCCACAGGGTTCCCCAAGAGATGCAGTTCAGTGTCTTCTCCAAGTCCACAAAACACATGTAGACTGGATGGGCGAACTCCCATGCATATTTGAATATCCTGAAGAGGATAAAGAACTGGTTTACATTCCTCAACTAAGATGAAAATGACATCGTTCCTCCTTAATCTGAGGTTTGACTAATTAGCTCTCCTTTCCTGTACCCTACTATAGAGCTTCCTATTAGTAAAACAGAGTGATGGTAACAAAAGTAGTTAATTTTATTATTTCTAGGCTGAACTATTATAATTGATTATTATTGGGTTGCCTTAAAAATCACTAAAAGCCTTCCCTTGATCCAAAATGTTGCACTAAGAGAACTGAAATAGACTAGAAAGAGAAGAGTATATTTCTATACGGGCTTCTCTTCATTGGCTCCCTGGTAAATCCAGAATAGAAATTAAAATCCTACTTCTTGCATACAAGGCCTTGAATAATCAAGCTTAATCTAATCTAAAAGACCTCATGGTATCACCCCAATAAAGCACTTTTCTCTCAGACTGCAAGCTTACTTGTGGTGCTTTGGGTATTAAAAGGAGAATGGCGGGCAGAGCCTTCAGCTTCCAGGCTTCCTTCTGTGAAACCAGCTTCCAGTTTGAATTCACAGGACAAAAACCCTCTCTACTACTCTACTCAAAGAATATGGTTAAAAACTTCCTTTTTAATAAAGTATATAATTAGGGCTGGATCAGGTGACCCTGAATTGTCACTTATAACTTTTTTTCCATTAGTACCTAATGGCTTGACACAGTTTTTAGGGTTTTCCATTTGATGATAGTCCCTCATACCAGCTACTTTTTTAGTAGCTACTTGAAGTGGTTTGAACGATCCAAAAAATGTGACATTCGCAGCCTACGTGCCGATTGGCTAGTCAGTGACGTCACTCGATGAGTCATGAGAGCGTGTCTTTGAGAAAAATCAAACCACCATTTTTGAAACTCGGCAATGAAGGAAACAGCTGCACAAAAACAACACTGTGGTCATCAAGCCTGACCAAAAACAACAGACCAAGCAGCAGGTATACCGTTGCCTCAAGATCCGCCTTTGTTGCGGCATTCATGTCGCATACAAATATTTCGCCGCATTGCTGTAACGAGCCAATACACATTAGATGGTACTCGATTGTAATGGAATACAAGTCAAACTGACTCGACTTGTTTTTAAATGCGAGTAAATTGGGCAATAAGTATGCTTTCAATTCTTTTGCATTCACTTCATGTCTGGAAATTTGCTTCATAGCTGCAATGAATCCACTCTTTTAAGAGCAAGACAGATATTGAGGTTGTCCTGTAAGGCCAGAAGAACTCCTGTTGGTAAAATAAAAACACAAATAAAATTCTGCTACATGCCTTAGTCTGTGCCACAGTCTGTTATTCGATCTGGCATCCAGTACTTTACTGAGACAGTGAGACCTGTGGTTGTGCCTGCAGAGCAGAACTCTCCATCCCTTCACTGGCCCTAAGCTCTCTTTGAAAGTATTTTGGACATTAAAAGATACACTATGGCTTCACAGAAATTCATCACACTCGTGATTATTGCATGAACTGGTGCTGCACTTTTCCTCCAGAGTTGTACTCTTCACCATTTTTAGCATCCTTACCACTAACAGACCAGTTGTGCATTGAGATACTGCCTATGGAGGTCAGGCTCCCCCAACACTCACACGCACAGCCCTGCGTATAGTTGTTGTTGAGATATTTTGATCAGAATTTATATCATTGATACTCTATAAAAGAGAGAGAAAATTAATTTCATAAATGATACTGAGATTTGATAAAGATTTATTCCAACCAGGTTGTTTTTTTAAAATATCTTTTTGACCTCCTTTATATCGATCAAAAAATAGAAAAGGATTAACAACCTCTTCCTCAGTGGACCAGTTATCAATGCCTGAGATCAGTTGTGTACCACTCCAGCTGAAGTGCAGGATGATACAGGATGCATCATCATTCTGTTTTGTCTGCCCCTGATATCAAGTGCGAGTATACGTGGAATATATTGATATACAAATATACACCACTCCTAGTGTTGGTAATTTTTTCAAATTTTATACACATACCAGTGAACATGACTGTGCCATCGGGTAGACAGAGCCCACTAGAGACACTGTGGTGGCTCCCACACAAACTCTTCCCCCTCGGTGTAAACTTGCCATCTGTACATAAAACTAGTGATAGGTCTCAAACAGTCATTAAAGTGGATATCCTCCTTATGAGTCCTTTTAATATTACAGGCCAAGTGACTATGAGATGAAAGTCACATTTTCAACTGATATCCCTGGATGGAGGAAAACTGCCTGACGATCAGTTTGATAAGCTGTGATTAAACGGAGACAGAGGAAAACATGAATGGAAGAATAATGGTCAGCAGGCTCATTGCTCTACATTAACATTCACGAGATGCTTTGTACAGACCGTTTATTGTTGAGTGAGAGTGTGTGGAGAACAGAATATGGGGGTAATATGTGTGGACACATTTCCAGGTGAACTGTGATTTCCACAGGACATGATCTGCAGGGGAGGAGAATCTGTGTAACATCTCCTTGGGATCCAACACGTATGCAGACACATATACTTACACGTAGATCACAGTATGCTCCAAAACTGGAGCTATACATTATGTTAGAAAGGAAAACTAAGCCTGTATGATCCCACAGCTACACTCTGTCATTCAGGGACCTCTAGTGGTCACATAATGCTATAGTTTCAGTCAGGCCAAACAGGGAGCGCTGTGGCTCAGCGGTCACAGCGCAGCTGCCTCAAAGGCCAGCTTTCATCCACCTAACCAAACCTTTACTCTTGCACCATCACCTGAGAAAGAGTAGCTGCTCATTTTACAACAGTTCGAGAGCTTGATGGAGATAATATAACACACATATGTGTCTGATAATCACGAACTCGGCGTCATATTTATCCCAATTGCTATTTAAACTGTTCTTTACTGTAACTCAGCCTGATCAGAGCAGTGTGAATATCTCTCTCTTTCTCTCACTCGTGTGTGTGCGTGCGCACAAAAGCAAAGCTGACGCGTGTCCACTGCGCTCCTCTGCCCAGCAGGTGGACTCAGAGGATGGGGCCTCTCTCTCTCTCTCTCTCTCTCGACCCCTGGTGGAAGAAACGCCACGGGGAGCGAGAGAGAAAGAGAGAGAGTGTGTGGGAGAGACTGAGAGATGGACAGATGACTCAAAAAGGAGATGAAAATGAGAGAAATGCTCACTGCGACCGTACACATCAAACAGCGGGAGAATATTCTGGATTTTTCTTATTTTGTCCTCTTTGTTCCATCCAAACGTTGTTGGTGTGACGAGCAGGGAGGGGGGCGTGACTGGCATCATTAAAACCTCTGATACCCCCACAAGCACGCGCACACTCAGACACGCGTGAACACACGGAGGGAGATGTTTACAGCTTTGACCGTTTGGACTCCACTGAGCGGAATAAGGCGAGCGCAGCGTTCACACGGCTTCAGACTCTGACGGACTGAGTCATTTTCATTTTTAGTCATTTTCATTCTCGTTCAGCTTCAAAGTTGGAATCTGGGACTGAATCGTGACAGCATGGATTTGTTCGGCGCGCGTCGCCTTCTCGGGATCCGGTGCTGCTGGAAGGTTTCCGTTCTGCTCAGCGTTTTCTTTCACAGCTGCCCGAGCTCCTTGTTGGACTGTCCCCCCACCTGCACCTGCTCTCCCACTGAAATCTTCTGCAGTAAGTCCGACAACAGCCAGTTCTTCCCGCTGCTGTCCTTCCAGGGGACCGGGAATGCTGGGAATAATACCGGCAGCATCGAGGATCTTTTCCAGAACATCACCTCCATGTGAGTGCTGCTTCTCTAGATCAAAGCTTTAAGGATATTTAAGAGAAGTTTTGTCCTTTTAATTGGTGAATTTACTATAGTTTTGTTTTGTTTTTTTAACAAGTGGACTAAAAACCCACGATAAGATCCAGCTACAGAAATGAGTGATGGTTCCTCGGTTGGGGCAAAAAGGCGAGATTCCTGGTTCAAACAGTTCTGGTGTTTTTCTTTTCATAGAATAAAATTGAAATCACAGAATTGTTCAAAAAATGTAAACTTTTTGAAAATCTGGCAAATTTTAAATATAATACTTAAAATATATTAAAAAAAATAAAAATAAAATGAAATAAAATAAAATGATTCTTCTTCTTGTTAATGATACTATTAATAAATATTACTATGAATAACAGCAACATCAATAATGATCCAGATGACTCAGGGATCCAGGCTCAGAATACCGAAGAATGATTATGCAAATAAATGTCCCACTTGACTCAAATAATAAATGTACCTGCTTTATTCAGGACTTTATAATGAACCATCTTAAACATCCTCTTAAACATTTTTTGAGAAACTTCAGTCTTCTCCAAAACTTCCCTTCATCTGTGCACATGTGCAGTGGTTCCTCACTTTCGGGAACCGTACACTGTGATTAATGGTGATGGTAAAACCCCATCAGAACAAGCAGAGCTGGCAGGTCTGGAGTTACTTTAAAAAAATTACATTCTGTTATTAATTTCTTGTAAAATAAATGAATAATCTAAATGTAAAAGAATTGAGCAGGTCTAAAAAGATTAGAATGGTGATGAATATGGTTTATCTCACATGAGGAGGCTTGATCTTTGTCTGTGTTTAGGGTAATATACAGGTCTTTGGTATGCCACAAGTGTTCAAGTGTTCAAATTCCGAATTCCGAACTGATCTAAAAGATGTGAATGAATCAATTTATATAGGAAATGGAAATCTGAAATGCATGAATATATTTGATACTTTTAAACATAGCCATCTGTTGATGGAAAGTGTGCCTCTCCCTTAGCTGTTCCTGCATAACATTGCTAAATGCCATGGTTTTATACACTAGGAAACAGTCCAGCGTGAGAGGTAATAGGTCCAGATGTTTCCAAATAGCTTTTTTATTGCATTATAAGAACAGTCATGACTCAGATAATATTAAGCAAATTTTAGTGCAGAAGTCTGTTTCTTTAAGATGAAGAGCCAACCAGCCATCCAGATATCCATGAAAAATGTTATCTGGGCAGATACTGAAAACTGACCACATCAGACCACAAGTGAATTTTTCTCAAAAACTTTCTTCTTGCTTTGGAAGAGAGTGGCAAACAGTCCTCAGTATATCATAAGGTTTTAATATAACTAAATTTATATTCATTTCTTTGGTGAGGAAATGTTGTAATAATAATAATAATAATAATAATGGATTACATTTATATAGCGCTTTTCGAGACCCTCAAAGCATTTTACAATATCACTATTCATTCACTCTCACATTCACACACTGGTGCAGGCAAGCTACAGTTGTAGCCACAGCTGCCCTGGGGCAGACTGACAGAAGCGAGGCTGCCATATCGCGCCATCGGCCCCTCTGGCCAACACCAGTAGGCGGTAGGTGAAGTGTCTTGCCCAAGGACACAACGACTGAGATGTGTGTGTGAGTGGGTTAATGTGGCTTTTTGTATAAATAAATAAATGTAGCACTCTGTCTAAGTTTAGGGATAGTGTTTAGTTACTGGTCTGTGACTAAACCAAAGTCCAGTCTTCTTCTGTGCCTTTAGTCTCTTGCTCAGCATTGCTCGTGCTCTTTTTGGTGGCCTGCTTAGTTCAGTATATGCCATGGCTGCATTTGTCAAATCACACTGACTTTCGCTGTACAGTATGTTTCCTTACTGTGAACTCAATCAGTCACTTTGCCTAGGAGGTAGACCAGCTCATCCATTAGCTGGAAGGGTGATGCTTTAAATCCTAATTCATTAAATCAAATATATGTTGAAATGTCCGTGGGTGACATACTGAACCCCAAAATGGTGTGGTCAAAGTCCTCTAAGGGTGAGTGTGGTTGTAGTGTCGGGGTTAGTATATAAATATATAAATTTTCCTGATGCTCTGATAACTCTTCCTCATTAACTACAGATTGGTTTTATCTGAGAAGATGTGGTGTCTTCTCTCCTTGTCGTATTCTTCCAGAGCCTCTTTGAGAACGTAGGTCATGCTGAGTGGACATCCTGCTTTGGGAGTGGCACTGCAGTCACTTTGATCAGAAGATCCAGATCATTACTGCCTCTTGTCTCCTGTAGTTGTCAGGAGTGCACCTGCTGCAGCACTGACAGTTTATATTAGAGCTTTGCTATAAACCCTTTCCTTTTAATATAAAGTCCACTCTAGTATTAGGCAATCGTAAAGTTTACGTGGACAGTCCTAATCTCAGTGACCAGTCAAAGTGATTTTAAACTACAAAACCTCACCCCGCCATTCACACACATACACATGTGCTCAAGGGCTCAGGGATAATGCACATACACATACATGCGTGCGCACAGGCTGTGGTCCATCATGTTGTTGTTGTGGACTGAAGTGGACCTGACTGTCACAGCATCTGTAGGTTCTTTGTTTTTATCTCTTATGTAGCCAACAAAACACACATCTTGTACACACACTACAGTAAAACACACAGTAATTAATAAGAACGGGAAGAGTTTGTAAACTGTGGCCAGTCTACAACAAGATGGCAGAACACATTGCTACACGCACAGTTTATTTTGTGAGCACAAAACCTCACTTCATTATTAACCTGGTTTTCTGAAAAATTATTACTGATCAAAGGAGCTGCTGAACATCGAATTCCCTCCTGCTTCTCCAACACTGATCGCTACACCCGGAAAAATAAGAGAACCGTGTAAAAAAGTAGTTTTACTTGCAATAATAACAATAATGATAATAATAATAATAATAATAATAATAATAATAATAATAATAATAATAATAATAATAATAGCCAGGAAGCCTAAGCAGAATAAGTGAAGCATGTGTAGTGTCAGATGTCAGCTCCATTGTTCCGTGTGCTCATCAGCACAATAGTGGAAAACTGGTTGAAAAACACAGGATTGGTTTCAGTTGCATATCCCACACAGTTAAGTGAGGGGTTGAGTTTTAACATGTAATAATATGAGATAAAGTGTGTGTAAGTACAGGAAATAAAGTTTATTTGAAGTCATGTCAGGATATTAACGTGAATAAAAGCATCTTTTCATTTCTGAAAGGAGCTTCGTTTAACTACGAGACCACCAGCGTATCCTGGGTGGTTACGGTAACTTGATTAATAAAATGATCAAATTGGCACAAATCATCATGAATAATTGTATTTATTGTGTAAGAATGTACCTTTTAGTAGGTTTGGGTTATCTTTAATTTGAAGCAAATTCACGATTTAATATATTTTGCTTTGAATTTAAATTTTTGGGGGGATAATTTTTACTTTGGATTTTTGTCTATTTCATTTTAAGTTTAATTTCAGAGAAAAGTATTTAAGGTTTAATATAATTCATTGCCACTAAATTATCATGGTTTCTGGCACTTTCCCCCCTTTAGCAGCCATTGTTTAAAGTTAAAATAAATTCAGTGGATATATATAGTAGATTTCTGAAATTTATGATGATGGAAAAGTGCCAGGAAAATCAACCAAAGACTAATTTAAAATCATTAATCATTTGCTGTGAACAAACCAACATGCTGACTTTAAGAGCTGTATTCATTAAACAGTCATACTGACAATAAACATGTGACTGTGTCCTCTTTTTCATGTCTTTATGTATTTAACTGAGCTGTTTTTGAAAGACATTATGACACAACATCAATACCTGAGGATCAATACTGTGCTGACATCAATATTAAAATGCTGTCATTTATGACCATGAAGATAAAGTCAATAAGTTCTTTACTAATGCACTAACTGAAATTACAGATTACGCAGAGAACAAAGAGATGTCTGATATGTCACAGTAAGTCAGAGAGTAAATAAAGTATCTGTTATCTGGAAAACAGTTTTTTTGTAATTGAATTGTGATTTAATAATAATAATGATAATAACAGTAATATCTTGGCATGAGTAGGATGGATTAGGCTTTGAGGACTACAGACTGGAATGTACAATGTGACCCACATAGGGAGTACAGTTTAAATGTATCAAATTCTGTGAACATACCATCTTACCAACCATGGCTGTAAGACAATTTAAAACAATTAAAAAAAAACAACAACTATAATTTAAGATATTATTATTTTAAGAAGAAAACTTGAATTTCTGAAGATGGGGACAAACTGAGGAGAGCATAGTACGACCTAAGGGTGAAACTGAGGACTCCTGCAAGAGGAAGCTGGACAGTATGAGCAGAACAGTGTGAGGGATGTGTGGAGTGAAATGAAGAAAATCACTGGTTTTAAGGTGACGGACAATAACCGGCACCAGCAAGGAAACCTGAAGGGAGCAGAAAAGCTGAACGATTTTTAAAACACTTTTGGTTCACAGCCCTCTGCTGCTTTTCCCCACAACACACTCTACACACTATGGCCCTTACACACATTCGTTGCCTTCAGGGGTATTAAAAAAATTAGGCTAGATTAATGCTTGCCATGCCAACCCAGTACACACTCACAAAGGATATTCTCTGTCTCCAGATATTCACTTCCTGATTAAATAAAGTTTAAAAAAGAAGTGGATTAGCAGACTCTGTTTCCTAAGTACACTGAGCTCCTTTAATGTAAAAACCATGGCTATTTCCTGTCAGTCAGTTGTGGTGTGTACACAGTATACTCACCAACAGACTAATAAACTGATCAGGACAGATTTTTCTGTGATTAGCTGCAAACTGGAGACTTCTGAAGTTGTGGTGTAAAGGAGGTCACTGAACAAACTGTTATGCATAGATAGTTCTGATCACTACCAAATAGTTTTACTATCGTACACCATGTTTTCTTATTTATTTATTAAATTTTTATTATATTTCAAGTTT